GAGGACTGTGTGACAGGGCCAGTCTTTCCTCAGCTTTAAAATACACACACCACAACGCTTACAGGCTGGACCGTAAAGACAACGTGAATTACCAAAACGCTCGCTTTGCGTCTTTTGCAGCAGGCATACTGTTTAACCTGTTTATGTCCTGAAGTTGTGAAAAACCACGAGAAAGTGTGAGGTTGAAAATCCAGCTCTAACCGACTTTTGAAGCCGCTCATCCCACCTTCTCTCCAACTTCACCTACTTTAAGAATATATTAACTTATAACTCAGCTAAGGACACCCTCTGCTCTGGCCCAAATTATGATTTGTCATTTCTGGAACAAGCATATTTCTATAGCAGCAGAAGGCTGCAGGGTACGTAACAAACACAGATAGACGCGTTACGTGCCATGCACGTAACGGCAAGCTCTCTGCAGAACCACAGCGCACGGGCACCCGACGGACGCGAGCTTTGCTGCTGCTTGATCCAAAAACATCTTTCACAATCTGTGCTCAGAGCTCAAAGCAGGACCAGCTCAAGAACTTTGCTGGCGTTGCTCGTTTGGCAGGATACCGTGAACTGGCAGGATATACAAAGTAATCCCGACGCTCAATGTTAAAATAATACTCTGAATTAACTGAAGTTACTATAATTCTACTTTTCATATTAGTCTCTGGTTTATTCTAAAGCAACCCAGATGAGAACGCCTCATAAGATTTAAACGAGGTACAAATGCTTAGTGAAGAAAACTAGTGGGTATCTAATAAAGTAGCCATTAGACAAAAGGGCTAATCTACCTGGCTACATACGGGAAAATCTCGCCCGTGAATATTCTTATCATATTAGCCAGCTTGTTGAATACTGAACGGCAACGGCCAGCGGAGCCGGTAGCCATGGGTCTTCATCAGCATACTTCATTGACAGAAGCAGATTTCAGAGTTGCCGTGGTGCTAACTGTTACGACACCTTATGATATACATAGTATACGTTTCTGCTATCCTTTTCTCTACTCCCTTCTCTTAGATCAGAGATTTGATTTAGCTATTTAACAGGAAAGGTCATATTTTCAGAACGTAAGCAAGCCAGTTTAAATTGCACAAACTTAGCTACAGTAGGCTAAGAAGCTATTTTTACCAGAAAGATTAAAGGGAACTAACATTTACCCTGACAAAAGGAATTGCTCAAGATCACCGCATCAAAGCATCAAGTGAAATATAAACAAGAGCGAGCAGCTGCATTCTGCTGAAAATTCAGGCCTGCCACCAGACCCTTCACCAGCACACCACTATACTCATTTCTAAGCATTGGCAGGATTGATGCCTCGTTATTCAGCAACAAAACTACACAACTGGGCCTAACACGATGTCTTTTAAAGCATGTCCCAATCACGCAAGCCGCGGCATCAAACAGCTGGGGTTTATGACTGCAATTACAATTCAGTTATCCAGGACACAACTTACAGCTTGTTAAGTAAGGGCACGAATCTCAAAACTATCTACCCAAATCTCTCTGATTTAAAATAAATAAAGAGCCTTCCATGTTGCAACGACTTTTTTATTTAAGCCTCAGTGCAAGAGAGCAGCCTGCTTTAGGTTCAGGACCAGGGATTTGATAGAAATCACTACTCAAACTATTTGTATTGCCTACTACAACACATAGAAGAGTTCAGCAATCTTTCAACAAGTAGTATTAGCTGCTGGCAACAAATCTTAAAAAAGAAAAAAAAAAAGAAAAAGAAAGCAAATTGAGAAAAGCACTTTTAAGCACACAAACATCGCTTGCACCCTCAAAGAGATGCTTCCCCTCCCCGAAGAACACTAGGATCACAACAGAACACAACCGAAATACTCCTATTTGTCAAAAACACAACCTGAGGTTTTCTGTCCTTGGTGACCAAAGGTCCTCTCAGCTGCGCAAAACTTTATGCAGATACTCAAGTTTACATTTCTAGTGCTCCACAGAGCTCACCAAGACGCATTAGAACTTGCTGAACAGGACGTAATTATGACTGAAGCGTTCCAGAACAGACCAAGGCAACGGGGAGGGGGGGGAAATAAAAGAGAGAGAAAAACCTGCTTCAAAGATCCTTTCCTGGCTACCAGTAGCCTCTAACGTGTCTATTTGGGCAATTAAAGAAAAACTGTGTTTTTCTGAGTTAACTGCGGTGCGTTTCACAGCACCTTCTGCATCAGCCTTCACTATGATATTCAGTCACTTCCACAAAAAGGGATTAAAGTAGTTCAGTCACAAGACCTCACCCAGGTATTCTCTGCCCATTCTTAGTCTCAATATTGCTTCTTTTTCGTATGTTTCATTTCTTTGCAGTTTGGGAAGAAAAAGATTCCATTAAAAAAAAAAAAAAAACCCAAACCCACAGACCTATCTATAAAACTACTGCCAAACGCAGACTGAGCAAACTTAAAAAAAAAAACCCACAGAGTTTATCAGCTCCATTACGGTAATAATTTTTTCAGTCTATAGAAACATAGCAGGCATAGCGTGATTAACTTATCACTGTCCCTTAAACGAGATTCATTAATCTCCGAGAACCGAAAGACCCGTCAAACATATCACTTGTTCCTATGCGGCCCCCGTGTTGAACACTCGGGACACTTACAGAAGTAAGTGCACGCACGCCTGCGTTTCTGCACACGTGCGTATTTCCAACGGGCAGGCGATTACTGGAAACGATCGTTTTGATGCATTTTATTATTCACACCCCCCACGACGATTTAAAAAAAAAAAAAATAAAAAAAGGAGAGAAAGA